CCACCCAGACTTCCTCCGACACGCCATGATCGCTCTGCGGATAAACCCGCTGACTGTATACGCGAAACAGGAAAGTCCTCGGACGGGAGATTAGCCGTTTCGCAGAACAATTACAAAGAGCTGTGCGTAAAATTTTCCTAGCCGAGATATGAAATTCTAAGAATGCAGATTTATTTTTCTCCTGCAATCTCCAGCCTATTTGAGTGTTGCTGAAGGAAAACATCTGAACGAAAGCAGTCCAAGCCTCCCAACCATGTGCTCTGATCCCCGTTTAGTTAACACGTTCACAATCTCCATGATAGAATGTCCTTATTGTACTTGCGGACATCTAAATGCACTACAGATGTCTGATGTGGACTGCTTACATTCAAGTTATTTTTTTTTTTAAATCAGTGATTGTATTATTACCATTAACTCCTTGGCAGATGGTTTAATCTAAAACAAGCTAACAGTTTTACAAGCATCTTGAAACAGCTTAATTTTACAAGCAGCATACCTTAGGACTCTAGAAACAGCTTATAGTTTTATGAACACAATTTACAGTTTTTCAAACCCAGTTCACGGTTTTAAAAAGACAATTTACAGTTTTTTAAACACAGCTCACAGTTTAAAATGCACATTGCAATTTTACAAGGTGCAGTGTAACAAGCACATTTTGCAGTTTTACAGCTATGGTTTACAGTGTATCGAGCATAGTTTAGAGTAACAAATGGTTTAAACAGTTTGCCATTTTACAGACCTTTACAGTGTAACAAGCACATTTTGCAGTTTCACAGTTTACAGTGTACTGTGCAGTTTTACAGTTTCCAATGTAACAAGCACAATTTGCAGTTTTCCAGTTTACAGTGTAACAAATAGTTTGCCATTTTACATACACAGTTTACAGTGTAACAGGCACAGTTTGCAGTTTTGCAGAAAGACTCTGGTTTTACAAAGAGCCCAGCTGCTAACCTATCCTCCTGAGACCCAAGGAAAAAAAGTGTCCTTCAATTTTAGGTTATTTGTCTTTGGAGGAAAGAAGACATTTTACAATTTAGATTTTTTCCATTTTTATTTTTAATTTCACATTAAATGTCCTCTTTAGTGTACAAAAGGAATAAATACGTGTCCTAACATCAGTGAAAAGATGCAAAAATAATATGTCCACTACAATGGACATAAATGAATGGGTGGGGTCTCAGGAGGATATACCTCCCCCATCTTACTAAGAGCCCCTCCCCCAGACAGGCAGCACTTGCCAACCTGACTCACAGGGGCGTGCCTCTCTTGCACCCGCAGCCATGTGCCCTGCCGACCTGCAGCAGCTTTGGAAAGATGTGGCAGGCGTGCCGAGCACGGAGGACGCCATGAAGCACGAGGGCCTCGACCTGAGCACCACCAGCTCCAACTCTACCTCATACTCGGCCTCCAAGGTCTCACCTCAGATCACCCACCACTCTCTGCCAAATGGACAGAGCTCCATTCACACTCCAAAGAGGGACAGGTGAGCGCCCCCCCCCCCACTGCACCATCCTCTCGGGTCAATCAGCATGTCCAGTCTGAGCCTTTCGTTAGGGCTGTGGGAGGAGTCAGCATTCACCTTTGACGACGCAGAGGAGAGTCCTCCGTCGTTTTTGTTACGTTGAGCATGGAGGGTTGGGTGGGTTGTGGCCATTTTTGTACAGAGGTACTGTAGTGTTACTGTGTGGTGTGTGAGCTCCAACCCATGCCAGGATCTGTGTCAGGGTGTATTGTTTCTTTACCATGATGCCCGCATATCCTCCAGTATCTTCCTTTTTCACGTGATTCCTCAGCTCACTTTATCAGTTCTTACCCACAACAGTCGCTCACGCAGCACAGTGCCGTACCTCAGCCAGTTAGCGCTGAAAACTGTTGTGCTGGACCGGCTCTGAAACCCGGATGTCGTTCTGCATGACGGAGCTACCCCAGTATCACCAGTCTCGTTTGGACATGTTTGCCATCATGGGGGCCACCAACATGGCATTAACGCAGCCTAAATGAGGAAGCAGCGGAGGGGGATTTTGTGCATGCATGCATGCATGCGTGTGTGTGTATGTGGGCAGGTTTTAGAGAGGAAGGGGGTAGGGCACCATGTAAAAGAATGTCGGGAGGCTGTGCCCCCCCCCCAGGTCCTTATGGATTCTCTCCATTTTTAAGAGCAAGACTCTTTGAGTGGATCTCGTCGTTCTCCAAGGCCGAGCCCGCCGATGAGCATCTCATGCCTCACTCGAAGGGGGGGTACCTGCAGAACACGCAGTAAGTAGACACCCCCGAGCCCGTAGCCATTCCCAAAGTGCTTCCCAGGTCGTGCTTCTGCAGGAAAAGCTAGGCCATGTGACAGGAAGTGGGTGTGGTTGAGCATGGAAGAGTGTGGGAGGCACTTGTGGTCAATGTGGCTGCCAGTAGCCAGTAGCGACCGGGGAGAGTGGTGGCTTGTCACTCATTGGACCATCTGCGGGCAGGATGGTTTGGGATTGGCTTCTGATGTGGTTGCGTTTTGGGATGCACCCCAACTGTGGCCCCCCCCCCCCCCCCCCCCCCCCCCCCCCCACCACCACCACCCCTACCCCCATCACATGTTTCCATCACATGATCTCCCTCAGAGAGAGTAAGAAGCCACATGGTGTCCCCGGCAGACTGTGTGGCCCTGAAGCATTGCATGTATCTGTGCATCTTCAGTGTGTAGCGAATGCAGAGACCAGACCACCTGAGGACCATGATCTGAGCGTATCTCCCGCTGCCCCATCTGTTCCCAATGCCGAGGGCCCATCCTCTAGATTAGATCCCGTATGGAATTACCCTGTAACCAGGCGCTAGTCCATTCCAGTTTGCCTTCGGTTCCTCAGTGACCCACCAGAGTTTAGCGTCCGTGTGGGGTGGGGGAGGGGGGAAAGGTAAAAGGGCAGGGCTGCTGCTGTTGGCTCACTTTAGTTCCCTAAAGTGGCCCATTTGCTGTGGTGGAGTCGGGGCAGAAAGCACAGGGCCCTGTCCCGTGAGCGAGATGGACCCCGGCGCCTTGGGGTACCAGCAACTCCTCGTCCAGAGGCCTGGATCATCCTGCTGGTCTGGTCAGGTCCATCACTCTGGTTAGACCTGGTCTGGTTACACTTGTCACACCCGGTCCTGTCCAGCCCACAGGTCTGTCTCACCAGATCTAGTCAGGCCCATCACACCATCCGGAATTGGACACCTTTTCTATAATAAATGTCTGTTGAGCTGGTGCTGTCCTGGGTGGGGGTCGGGTGGGTGGGTCTGAAGTCTGTGTGAAGTGGGAGGCTGGCACTGAGGTTCACTGTGGTGGCATACTTACCCACCTGTGTCATCACTCTCCCCCCCACCACCACCTACAGCTCATCCCACGAAGAGCACACGGCTACCCACCCCCTCTACGGGCATGGAGAGTGCAAGTGGCCTGGGTGTGAGGCGCTCTGTGAGGACATGGGACAGTTTATCAAGTAAGTGCACATGCTGTCACAAGTTCATTGGTGCTTGTTGGTCATGTGACCTAACATTAATGCACAACCCCCAGGCACCTAACTCCCAGAGCATTATTACCACTGAGATCCATCAGGAATCCTGTTCTTTCATCATTTCCTGTTTGAAAGTGCCATGTGGTCCATTGTGTTTTACAGCTTCTGCTGAAGGCACCTTTGCTTTGGTTACTTGCTGGGTTTATGGTATCACTTAGTCACCTCCAAGCGATCAAATGCCCTTGGGGTGTGGAGTCATCCCAGGGTTTCAGAACTGCCTCTGGGTACAGGGGGCCCAAAAATTACTCCTGAATTCCTGAATACAAAACGCAAGATCATTGGGTATGGTGACCAGTGTCGTCTAATAAATGTGGCTAAACCGAGAAATACACAACAGCTGTATGCAACTAACCCAGTGAAACCCATAGCGTCACGTGTGCCGATATAGGCCTTGCAATGCCATAACCACAGCCTTTACCCGAGCATGGCAGCACGTCATGTGATTGGCCCTGGCCCTTAGCCGCCTGTCATAGACTGGCACACCGCCGCTGATTCACCCGTTTACAGCGTCCCTCTCCATGCTGCTAGCCCGCCAGTGACAGATTAACACCCCTCCTGGCAGCCCCCCGCACACTGGCAGAGGGTCACGTAAATTGTTTTTACGCTTCATTAGTAGTTTACTTAATTAGCTCGTTTACAATTAGATCTCTTTGTTTCTCTGATGCTAGCAAAGACATCAAAACGGGGGGGTCCCGCCTCAGTGTGCGCGCCAATTCTTATTTTTTTTCTTTTCTTTTCCTTTCGTCAGTCCATGTGCCTGCCCAGAGTCGGGGGGGGGGGGGGACACGGCTTGCCGTTAGCGATAAAGGGGGGAAAGATCTGAGCGAGATGGCAATGTAAACAGCCATTGTCTTTTGGTGTTAAAATAATTAGACTTCAGAATGGAAAGGGCTGCCACGGGCCGCAGTCACATGGGCATAACTCACGGCTCCCTGCCCCGTGGGCCACAAAGCTCACATTGTGTGTGTGGGGGGGGGGGGGCTTTATCCCCATCTTTATTTCCTTTTCCACTGTCCATCCAGGCCAGGTCTCCCAATGGCGCGTCTGTTTTGATATCCACCAGATTCCCAGACCTGCCACACAGCACAATAGTCGCCACTAGCCTGCTAATGAAGCCTCAGCCTCGTGGCCTAGATCCCTTTGGGGGGGAAAAAACAGTCTAATTATTTTGTGGAACTTAGAAAACTCCCAGCTTGACAGGAGATGGTCAGACAAGCGGGTGTGTGTGTGTGTCTGTGTGTGCTGTCTATGTATGTTGGACTGTATTTCTGTGCGTGTGTGTTTGCACTCTGTGTGTGTTTGTGTGTTTTTCTAATTATTACATTATGTGGATTTCCCCACAATGTCATAAAAAAACCTGTAGTCTTATGGGGGGATTTTTCCAGTGCTCACAAGGGGAAACACGATTTTATATAAAAACTTTGAATTACAATTAAAAAAAAACTAAAATACACAAAGGTTAGGGCTGGGCAGGGATTAAGGTTGGCAGTAGGGTTATGCCCATAGAAATGAATGCAGAGTCCCCACAAAACATATCAATAAAACCGTATGTTTGTGTCCGTCTCCATTTGTGTTTGTGTATGTCTGTATCTGTGTTTGTGCCGGGATGGGCAGCCTCACACTGATCAGAGCCGCACAAGATCAAAGAAACTGGAGTCTGGGAAAGTTTCTGAGAGCAAGTCCGTCAGCCTGCCTGTGTCACATGGCCCGGGGGCAGGCGGGGCGGGGCGGGGGGGACAGATAATGCCATCAGTCCGCGGGCAGGATCGCTGTCGAGTCATCATTGGGGGCAGGGCCTCTTCCTGCCCACTTGTGGCCAGGGCGTGATAAAATAGCTCCACTGAGGCCTACCCCCCCCCCCCCCACGTGGTTTGGGCATACCCGTTGGGCCTCAGCGTAACACAGGGCCCCCATTGTCAGGCAGGCAGTTCGGAGAATAGCACTGCTACTGTGTGTCATGAGCTATGAAGCGTCGCGGTTTGGGGGGGTGGATCTTTTTTTTTGTCATGCATGCTTGCAAGAAAAGGCGTATCAGCTCTTGGGTTTCCAGTAGGGTGACATCATTGTTTTTACAGTGTCAGGGTGGGGGGGGGTGGTCTTGATAGCGTCTGGCTTCCCCTTAGTCTGCCACATTTTTGTTACTTGGGTTGTAGTCTGGGGGGGCAAGCCTATGGAGACTGGCTGGATGAGGTCACATGACCTTTGAACAGCCGGGCTCCTTCCTCGTCGGTCTCACAGAAACTCATTTGATTGGTCTCTCTGCAGGGCCCCCAGGGTGATGCCTGTTTTAAGGGCCCGATTAAAGCAGTACTCCAGAGATATTTGAAACAGAAGGCCGCCCTATATCCGGGGTTTGGGGGGGACACAGATGCCTAGGGGAAAGGCTGCTGCCCTATATCACAGTCACGCCCCCTGAATCATGGAGGTCTGCTAGTGGAAAATGATCTAAAGGTGCCCCCCAGGACTGCCTCATTGGCGGAAGCAGGCAGCCACCTGGGGCCTGTCCCAGCACAGCGCCGGTGGTGCAGGCCAGGTCGCGTCGGGCCCCTTTCGTTTTTATCTGGAAAGTGCAGCTTCGCATGACGAACATAAACACGGCGGGAGAAGCAGGCTTGAAGCTGGCGCATTCCCGGTAAACTTAGCGAAAACAAATGAGCTCATTTCCAGGTATTTATTATTATTACTATTATTACTACTCTTTTTGCTCGCCTGTGCAGAGGCCAATGATAGCAAAAGCAGAATGGAGAAGGAGTGCGGGCTCTCGCTCAAGCTGACTGGAGAGAGAGAGAGCGCCTCCGGTGCCCGCGAGCCACTTCTGCGGCTTCCCTGCCCTGTGAATCCTCGCCTCCCCTCACTGCGTCTGAGCGGGTTTCTTTTCGGAGGAAACGCTTCAGTGAAAGCGCCGTGTCAGGTGGAAACGCACCATTGTGCGAGTTTCCTTTCGAGGGTCATCATGAAGTCCAGTAGAACTTGGCCCTGAAATCTGGGACTGGGATTTGGGACCTGGAAAAGTAAACAGGCATAGTTAAGTGCATTTCATCCTGGACGTGTTTATATGAGGTCACCCTTGGCCAGAGGCACCGGCCAGATCCTTCTGGAACATGAGTGTGCTTTTATTTCTACCGCCCTGCATGACCTGGAGGACAATCTTGGGCATGCTGGTTTAAAAAAGTCCCTGTTGGACTCGATGTCTGGCCAGGCACAGGCAAACACACCCTGGGGTCCTTGGGAAAGGAAAATGGCTATTGCTTATTGGTTAACCCCACCCTACCCTGCAGTCATCAGCTGTTATTGGGTTGAAGGAGCTGTCATTTTATGTCGTTGGCTGGAGCTTCTGAGCGAATGAGATTTTGATGATAGTCCCTCTAATTCCCTGCCCAGTTTTCAAGCCAGACTACTGACATCGTGTCCTTTTTAATATGGACGCCATCATGCTTTTTACCGGGGGGGGGGTTGATGCAGCTTGGTACCCACGCTAATGTCACGCTAATGCCCTTCTGTTGGCCCCTACAGGCACCTCAACAGCGAGCATGCCCTGGACGACCGCAGCACAGCACAGTGCCGGGTGCAGATGCAGGTGGTTCAGCAGCTGGAGATTCAGGTGGGTCTATTCAGTAACCCCCACCCCTGATCGGCACCACGCAAATTAAGCAGCAGAGCTCACTTTCACATGGCTGTGAATCTTCCTCTGTTCAATGTTGAATTAAGATGTCCGTCCTGGGTGGGACCATGGAGCTGAATGGAGGAGGGCCCTCCTAGGGCGGGCGAGGGCCAGGGGGGGTCAGTCAATGATGGGGGGGGGAGTGTTTCCTCCCAGAGCTCATAGTCACACACACAATAATCAGAGTGGATCTGTGCAGTTACACGAATGTGTGTGTTCCACTATGTGAGTATGTGTGTGTGTGTGTATGTATGTGTATGTATATATATGTATGTATATATATATATGTATATATATATATGTGTGTGTGTGTGTGTCTGTCTCCTCGATTTGTCAAGCACATGCACACCCGCACACACACGTGACACACATGCATAATATTCTCATAGAAATTACTCGAGCTTATAATGCAGTGGAGAAGCTGCCATCAGTGGCCCCCCAATTATAGTTTCCGACCCCCCTCCCCCGCTGAGGGCTGATGGGGTGTCGGGAGGGGGTGCTGTCGCAGCCATGGACGCTGTGTCATCCCTAATGAGAGCCCTGATGGAGGGGGGGGGACAGGCAGTGCCAGCCTAGCTGCCATCTCACTGTGTGCCAGCCTTAGCCCCCGCCATAGGTTTCCATGAACTGCTCAGAAGTGACACAGCCTGGTATGGCATATCACAAACATGCCTGAAACTGGGCTGTTATCACATTGCTTTTCTCTAGTTTATGTAAAAAAAAAAAACAACACTGGGACACCAGTACAACTAACTGTAACCATTTGTAGGATTCTTGACCCCCCCCCATGAGGCACATAACAGGCTGGGGGGATGTATCTCAGGCCACTGAGTAAAATGGACAAACTAGTCTACTTTGCTCGTCTCTTATTCTTATGTCAGATTTAAAAACAAAGATCCAAAGTCATCCTGGTTCCTCCAGGGCAGACTGTTCACTGAGCAGAGTGACAGGAGGGTGTGCAAAGTTAGAGTGTCAGGGGGTGCGCAGAATGAGCAGGGTGTCAGGGGGTGCGCAGAATGAGCAGGGTGTCAGGGGGTGCGCAGAGGCATACGTCTTTTTCGGGGATCTGTGTGCAATCTGCAATTGGGTCTCTTCGCAGTTCTCTGTCGTGAACTTCGTGTGGTTGAAGAGGTTCGCGGAAATCCAGTGAAGAGGAAGTGCGCTGTGGGGGCGGGGCTCTGTGCTGTCATCAGAATGACATCATGTAGTGTTTCTTCCCCTTCAGCTGGCAAAGGAGAGCGAGCGTCTGCAGGCCATGATGACACACCTGCACATGCGCCCATCGGAGCCAAAGCCTTTTAGCCAGCCGGTGAGTATCTGAGTGCAACAGTGTCTAACGTAGAGTATCTTTATGTGACGGTGTCAGTATGTAATGTGGAGTATCTGTGTGCAGCGGTATTAGTGTCTAATTTAGAGTATCGGTATGCCATGGTGTCTAATGTAGAGTATCGTTATGCCATGGTGTCTAATGTAGAGTATCGATATGCCATGGTATCTAATGTAGAGTATCGATATGCCATGGTGTCTAATGTAGAGTATCGTTATGCCATGGTGTCTAATGTAGAGCATCGGTATGCGACGGTGTCTAATGTAGAGCATCGGTATGCGACGGTGTCTAATGTAGAGCATCGGTATGCGACGGTGTCTGTGTCTAATGTAGACTATCGGTGTGTGATGGTAATGGTGTCTGTCTAATGCCGTGTATTGGTGCATGACAGTGCCATTGTCTTAGAGTATCAGTATGCAACGGTGTCAGTGTCTAATGTAGACTATCAGTGTGTGACAATGTGGGTGTCTAATGTAGGGTATCAATGTGTGATGGTGTCATGTCTGATGTAGTGTGTCGGTATGTGACGGTGTCTAATGTAGAGTATTGATGTGTGACGGTGTGTAACATACACTATTAGTAGTGTGTGACAGTGTGGGTGTCTAATGTAGACTTTCGGTGTGTGACGGTGCTAGTGTCTAATGTAGACTATCGATTTGTGACGGTGTTAGTATCTAATGTAGAGTATCGATGTGTGACGGTGTGTAACATACACTATTAGTAGTGTGTGACAGTGTGGGTGTCTAATGTAGTGTATTGGTGTGTGACAGTGTGTAATGTAGACTATCAGTGTGTGACTGTGGATGCCTAATATAGAGTATCGGTGTGTAACGTAGAGTATCGGTGTGTTATTGGTGTCTAATGTAGAGTATCGGTGCGTTTCTGTGTTTGTTGTAGAGTATCGGTGTGTGTCGGCGTCATGTAGAGTATCGTGTGTGTGCCTAATGTAGAGCATCGGTATGTGACAGTGTCGTGTCTAATGTAGAGTTCCGGTATGCAACGGTGTCTATCTAATGTAGAATCTATGTTTCATTGTGTCTGAGTGTATTTCAGTAGGTTATTGCGTGAAACCATATATATCAGTATGACAGAGACGTATTTATTTATAGGAGTACAAGTTTGTGTGAAACTACCAGTGTCTGACTTGTTTTCAAAGCCATGTTTTATCTGACATCTTGTTTTTCCAGCTTCTTTTCCTTTTTCTGTGTTTGTGTTTCTCCCTCTGGAGAATGAGTAGCTTCCCGAGAGATACTGTGCATTGAAGTATAGAGATTGCCCCCTGTTGTCCGGTGGCGTTTAACACATCCCCAGATTCTGTACCATAGGACCAACTTTGGTTGCTGTGCATTGTCAAACGATCACGCTACTCCTAAATTTTCAGAAGTTCACCTTGTTTATTCTTTAGGTTACCCATTAAATGTTTAATCATGGGGGTACCTGTAATTGCTCTGAAATACTATTAATCAATCAGTGAGAAGTCAAATTGCAAGCTTTAGCCGCAGAAAATAAAACAAGATGGTTAGGACATGTGTGGGTGGGTCTCCATTTCAGCAGCACCGTTTCAGATATTACAAAGCATTTGCTGTTCCTAAATGGAAATGCACTTCCAGCAGTCGGCACAATGCAATTATTAGCTATCTAATGAATATTTCATCGCAAGATTGACGAGGAGCCTTATTAAAATATGAAGATGTTGAAATTAATTGTCAATTAGAAGTGGAGTGTCTTAATTCAGGGAGGGGGCTATAAATTTGCATGCGAGTGGCAGGGAATCTAGGCCAAGACCGTTTTTCGTAAACGCGGCCGGTGAACGAGCCTGCGCCCCAGTGCCTGATGGGAAATCAGATGGTGCCTGTGGCGTCGCCATGATGAGCGTGGAGCACACGATAGCGATCAGGGAGGAGCCGGGGAAAAAACAAAGATTGCCCTCAATTAAGACGGCTCCGAGTTGCTACGGCAACTGGCACCATGCCAGTGTTAATTAAGTACCTGTTAAACAATTTTGCCCCCTAATTACTCGATGAGCCAGGTTCCCTCCTCCGGTGCTAGTGGGGGGGCTGGCCGAGTTAATTCGCTGTATTAGTTTTGGGCTGGCCCCGCCCGCCCCACCCCCGCCCTCTGCACGTGCCCGTGATGGTTTTAATTAGAGCAAAACAAGTGGCCCTGAAAAGAAGCTCCCAGTGCGACTGGGAGGACTGGATCCCAGAGCCCTGCCAGCGCCTCCTAATTGGGCAGAACCAGTCCATGAACACCGGGGGTAGTCACACTTGGCTCTGTGCCTAGACCCCTCCTTGTCATTGGCCCTTTGGGGGGCGCCGCGAAGCAAGGGAACAAGCGTCAAGCGTGACGGGGAACAGAAGGGGGTGGGGCCCAGCAAGCCAGGTGTGATATCCTCCAGCTGAATGGGTTCCCCCACATTCAATCTGTGGCATTCCGGAAATCCGGCCAATCAGCTGTGGTCTCCCACTGCCAGAGGCCCACCCACTTTGTCGGCTTCCTATTGAGGCTTATGATAGGGGGAGTTTTCCAGAAAGTTCACTGAGAGGGTAAAAAAAAAGCCCTTATATCCCATATTTACTAAAGACTTTTTATTTAAATATGCATTTTAAATGATGCAATTAGAAAGTAACTTGTTTGAAATTTGAGTTTGTTTTGAATCGTGCTAATTGCAAGTTTATGCCTTTTTAATAAATACAGTGTTTACTTCAGTAATTATACAGCGGAGTTGTGTGTAATAACGGTGCCTCTGTTACATGCATGATATATCAGCACCACAGCTGACCTTCTCTCCCCCCCCCATCCCCAGCTAAACCTGGCTTCCAATGCCTCCATCCTGAAGCGTGAGAGCGATGCCTATCCTGAGGGCTTACCTCACCCGCCCACATCGGCGGCGGCCCCCATTACGCCGCTGCGCCAAGGCCCCTCCGTCATCAGCTCCTCTGGCCTGCACGGAGTCGGGCCCATCCGCCGGCGCAACTCTGACAAATTCTGCACCCCAATCGCCTCAGGTGCGCCCCCCGGGGCCCGACTGCTGGGGGAGGAGAATCCAGCCACATGATCGGGGCGGGGGACAGGAAGTCCAATCAAGCTCGTAGTCTGTCAGGTGGCATTAAACAGTTTGCAGTCTTAGAATAGAGCACCCCTTTGTAGGGAGCCCTGTTCTCAGGCACACTGACCTCAGTCGCCTGTCACTGAGACAGACCACTTACAGAGCTGACAGGGTACTTACTGAGCCCCCAAAATCACGCCTAGCATATCTTGCTGCTCAGAGGTCCTACTGGGAATGGAACTCACCAGCTGCTAGTCATGGGTGTCGCCCTTAACCCCCGGTATGCCGTCTTTTCAGGGAGCTTATGGGTGATGTTGCTTTCATTCTCGTCCCTACAGAGCTTGCGCAAAATTGCGAGTTCTACAAAAATGCAGACGTCAGGCCCCCCTTCACCTACGCCTCGCTCATACGACACGTAAGGGCCTCTTTCACCTTTACAGGGGGGTGGGGTGGAGGGAGGGGGGGTTAATGGTCCTGCAGGGAAGTGCGGACCAGCGAGTGGTTCCACTTCAGGCTGGTGCTGGGTAGAAATCGCAGAAATTCAGTGCTGCTCTCTCTTCCCTGGCAGGCCATTCTGGAAGCCCCAGACAGGCAGCTGACACTCAATGAGATCTACAACTGGTTCACGCGGATGTTCGCATACTTCAGGAGAAACACGGCGACGTGGAAGGTGAGTGTGCTGCTGGGATTCTGTCACGCTGCTTAGGCAGCTGTGGTCTCTTATGTAGTGTTTTAAATTCCCCACAACCAAAGTGCTCCCCCTGCTGTCTGGAAGGATGCACTACACCCTGTTGGCTCTACAAAGTGTCTTGTGTGTTGAACTGATTGTTGAAACATGGGGGGAACTGCAGAGCTTGCACTATACGCTGTGGGCCCCTTTCATTGACTTTGCCGTGCAAGTGAAGGCCTCCCACGTGCCGCAAGCCTCCACCCCCAGGCAAGGCAGGGACAAGGCCCAGAAAGAGTCAACCCAATCAGCTCTATGATGTGTTCATAGCAAGGTCCCGATGGTGCCCAAACTTCATTGGTGGCAACAACTGGCATCTTACCTTCCAGCCTACTGGTCTTTAAGGCCGCTGTCTGCCTGTACAGCAGATAAAGCCCCATTTTTAGGTCTAGATAGCCTCACATCCCCCCGCCATCGTTATGAGGGCACAACGGCGTGTTAAAGGTGCAGCGACTGCCCTTCCACCCCCACCCGAGCCCTTACCTCCCCCGGCTGGGGAAGAGGTGTTGTTCGGGGGCTGCAGGACTGGCACCCCAGGCTCCTGACAAGGTGTCCAGCCCGGGACCCGCTTAGCCATGGCACTGCCTGTCACCGGCCCTCATTAGAGGTTCACACCCCCACCCCCACCCCCCCGCTGGGCCCACGGGCCCTGCTGGTGCCGACCCACTTCCCGGGAAGATTCCCGCTAATTTGTATGTCAGCCCCTCTGGAGAGCTGGTGTGGCTGGATGGGGGGGGCTAGGCTCCCGTCTAATGGCCCTGAACCGCCTCGTCTGGGGTGGGGTGGGGTGGGGGGGGGGCTGCCAGGAATATCTTTAACAACTCATTTCACTTTTATGAAATTTAACAATTAATGGATGCAGTGCTTCCTTGTCCCCCCTCCCAAAAGTCCCGTGAGTCATTCCAGGCCGTGTTAAATATCCAAACAGAGGAGACATCCCCTCATCGGCAGTAATGGCCGTATATATTCCATTTGCACTTGGCGAGGCGAAGGGGGCAGTAGTGTTCTGGTGATGCTCACCTATCGGTCCTTTTGAAATAAGGAGAAAATGGTGGTGGTGGTGGTGGGGGGGGGGTGTGCCTGAGGTGCCCTCGCTAAGAGGATTCTGCACGTATCTCCACGCCTGCACACCTCCATGGAGTGGATGGAGGGACGCTCCCCTCGGAGCATGCTCCCTGGTAATCAGGAGTAATTATTCCCCTTAAATTTGGGGGGGTGGATGGTCAGGGCTCATGTCAGGGATTGATTTTGTATTGAGCGTAGCACCAGGGAAGGCACGTGCGCAGAGCAAAGACTTGGAAATAAGCAAATTCGGGGAAAAAAAAAACATAAATATAGCTGCAAGCAGAAATAACGGGGCCAAACACACTACCATGGCATAGATGGCATGGAAAGAAATTCAGAAAGAGGAAATACAGGAACATAGGGGCATATGAGCATAGATCATATACCATAAGTTGAATGAAACATTCAAATAAAACTGCAACACTAACAGATCAGGAAAAAGTACGGGAAGTGAATGACTTAGCAAATAATTTTTTTAAATTCTGCCTAAAAAGGGAGATGGAGGCTTTGTAGCAGCGAGAGCCAAAGTTTTGTAGGTAAAAAACTGAAGGCCCTGCCACCCACAGAAGACAAGCAAAGTGAGGAACCAGTAGGAGACCAGTACCTGCAGATCTGTGGAAATGGGCAGGTGTACAAGGGAGGAGGAGCTCTGTGCTATACTGGGGAGCAAGACCATGTATGGTATTAAAAATCATCAGAAAGAGTTTATACTGTTTATGGAAAGTGAAGGATCACCAGTGAAGTTTATAGAGGTGGGTGTGAGTGATGTGTGAAGGTACTTTATTGTTAGTGGGAACTGTAGCAACTGCCTTCAGGGCCTGAAGGTGTGGAGTAAACCAATAATAGGAATGGGAGAAGGTGACAGAGCTATGCTTAATGGGAGTGTGGACATCAAGAGCATTAGATGTAGCCTGGGTCTAGGTAGGGAGAATCTCAGAAGGATAGGATTGTTTGGTTACATCCGAGAAAGAAGCTAGCAGAGAAGCAGAAAAGGCAACAGTGTCAACAGAATTTAGAAGAGGATAGGATGCGATGGAGAACCAAAAGTGGGAATGAACACACAGCTCTAACAATGACTGAGGGGTAATAGGGCATGGGCGAGCACAAATATATACTGGTGATGTATTAATGGGAGACAGGTGTGAATTATTGCGACACTAGGTTGGGAACCATTAGGAGCATATGAGAAGACCAGTGACATCTGCTGGCAAAACAGGGACATGGTAAGACAAATCCCGGCAATCCCCAGTCATAAGCACTTTTATAAGGCCAGTACATCAAAATGTATTAGGTAAAACATTTTTGCTCATTGCAGTGGTCAAATGACATGAAATTTGGTGCACATCTTCAGGAGGTGGCCTTGAGTCCAATTACCAATTTTGGTCTCAAAACATCAAAGCATTGCTAAGATATAGTCACATAATCTCATTTTGCAATGACGGACGAATGTCTTTGAAAATTAAAAATCCTTCTGATGTCTCTTGTGAGGCTTGGTAAAAAGATTATCTCTGACAAATTTGGTGAAGATTGGGCAAAATTTTGTGGCCTGTGGAAAATTCTTAAATTTTCAATAAAATCCAATATGGCGGCCGCATCAGTTAGGTGGACAAGAAAATTCCCATGGATCAGCCTGGGGAAATCCCATGCTATAAGAAGACACAAGAGTTATTTTTCTAAGGCAAACCGATCAACAGTTGTTAGAAAAAAAAACATTTTTGTTTATTGCCGCACCCCCTAGTGGTGGAATGAGATCTTTTTTTTTTGTTCCTCAAAATTTGGTCCCAAGTCCATATCACAAATTTGGTTCTTAAATATCAAAGTGTTGTGGAGATGACTTCACTTCTTGCTTGGTGGCTTTTTCATGAAATTTATTAATGGTTTGAAAAACTTTTGTTTCCAGCCCTCTGTAGATTACACATACCAAATTTGATGGTGATACAATCAATGCCCTAGAACAAGTTTGCAAAAGTACGTTTTTAGAAAAAATTCAAAATGGCAGAACATCCATTTGGCGGACTTAAACACCAATGGGTACATTCGAATTGGGAAGATCCAAGGTTGCAAGGGAAAAAAGATCTCAAACCTAAGACAAACGGTTCAAAAGTTATAAACAAAAATGTACCTAGAAACTTGGCCTGATGGTGGTGCTATAGGGATGAATTGACGGCAACTTTTGTGACTGAATACATTGGACTGTCCTCTATCAATATGCCAAATTAAAAAAAATATATATATCTACCAAGCAGTTCTGTGGGCCACAATAGACTCTCATGTCAGCAAGTATAACAGTGAAAAATTCTAATGATTAAAATACGTGTCTTGCACGTACACTGCTTGACCCCTAATAATGATAATGATAGTGAAAAATTGTAACAATTACAATAGGTGCCTTGCATCTTCACTGCTTGGCCCTTAATAATAGTGAAAAATTCTAACGATTACAATATATGCCTTGCACCTAAGGTGCTTGACCCCTAATAATAATGTTACTGAAAAATTCTAACGATTTACCATTGGTGCCTTGCACCTACACTGCTTGACCCCTAATAATAATAATGATAGTGAAAAATCCAACATTCTAACAAATATAATATGTGTCGTGCACCTATGGTGCTTGGCCCCTAATAATGAAAACAATGAAAAATTCTAACAATTTACAATAGGTGCCCCCAATAATAATAATAGTGAAAAATTGTAACAAATACAATATATGCCTTGCACCTACAGTGCTTGGCCCCTAATAATAATGATGATGATGATGATTTGGGTGCTTGGTTTGGCCCGGTGCAGGTGTCTGTCAGGAGTACCTGAGCGCATCCCGCTGGGGGATGTACGCAATTAAGGGTGTCGTTGGCATGCGGTTCGCCGTCTGCCAGCGACGCAGTGGGAGCACAGTCCCCATGCCGGGGTGGTGGGGGGGGTCAGGCGCCCTAATATCCTCCCTCCTCTCGAGCTCCCCCCCCCAGCCGCCACGGCCGAGGCGTTCTGTTTGTGTCTGTCAGGCCTGACCCTGTTCAAATTGCCGCTAATGTTTTAACTGGGAGAATTAGTCTTTCATCACGGATGGGAATGCAAATAAAATTCACGCGGTGCCTGTCTGAAATTGGGGTCAGACTAATTTGCAAAACTAAGCAGCATCACTCCTGCGTGCTGGAAATTTATTCAAAGGAGGGAGGCCTCGTCTGATTGTGGCTTGTAATTACGGTTCGGAGTGATTCTGGCATCTGCATCTCTCCCTTATGGATTAAAAAAGCGTATCGGAAAAAATACACAGGATTTAATTATACACAAATTAAAATTGGTAATGAAATTGGGCATGAACAAACTACAAATAGCAGATGAAAAGGAACGGCTCTCCCCTGGGGGTGTTATTCTAGATAGTGGCTGATTAGTAAAAATTTAGTGGGTGGGGCCCTGCATCATCTGCTGGGGTTGGACACGGAAATGGTTGCCTTTTTCCCGGAGTGAGGTTACTATACTGGCCCTTGGGGCTTAGGTTTTGGCAAATCGTTTTCAGTCACCCAGACAGTCCATGAAGCTGTTGCGTGTCGGGGTGTGGAAGCGGGGCGGTGAGCTCGTAACCGACTGGTTACGGGCTTGCAACCTGACACTTCTTGCTCTCGGGCCTTGGGAGATGACTCAGTCTGTGACCCACTGCTGCCTCCCACTGGTCCGTCTGGCCCACGCGCTGGGATCACACTTCCCCCCGGTTCATCGTCACTACGGAGGGTGGCTGGTAGGTTGAGGGATTGTGAGTAATAACTGGGCCTCTCTGTCTGACTCCCACAGAACGCCGTCCGCCATAACCTGAGCCTGCACAAGTGCTTTGTGCGGGTAGAGAATGTGAAAGGCGCCGTCTGGACCGTGGATGAAGTCGAGTACCAAAAGAGGAGACCACCAAAGATGACCGGGTAGGTGATGGGGCTCTGTCTGGATGGGGGGGGTGCTCTCTCCAATCCCCACCCCCACACATCTGCACTCCGCTTCCTCTTCCCGCTCGCTGCCCGAGCCGCGCCACGCTGACGTTCGGCATTAGCGCACGTCAGCGGCAGTATGGCTGCGTTGGCACTCCTCTCCCTCCGTTTAGCGACAGTGGGGGGCGTCTCCCGTGTGCCTGCGTGCTTAGCCAGGCGGCCCATCCGCCAGCTCATGTGCGGCCTGCTGTTTGAGGCCATCTCCAGGCACCGTGGCCTCGTGCCAGCAGTGAAAAGGGGGGGGGTCTGCTGCTGGAGTCTCCCCAAGACCTGAGATGGGGGATCCGCCACGCAATCACTCATTATGTTCCTTCACATGTTACAGAAGCCCCACCCTGGTGAAGAATATGATTTCGGGACTGGGATTCGGATCCCTCAACGCCAGTTACCAGGTGAGACCACCCCCCCCCCACACACACACACACACACACCGCACACAGATTGGAGCGAATGCACAAGGGCACAGATATCAATTTCCTGTTGTAATTAGCACGTTCCCGGACGACCCTCCCCCCCAACCACTCAAAAGCACCCCCAAATGATTTATAGCATCAAGTATTTGTCAATTAAGGTCATAGCATAAAATTAGTGTCTGTCCTAGAAAATCCATTTTAAAGAGACAGTGTCACACTCCTAATTCTCACTGTTCCCAGCTGCAAAAAGAGCAGTGTTAGGTACCCCCCCCCACCCCCGGCGTTACTATGACATCAGGCGCATCGAGAGCTGCCAGAGGATGGGGGGCAGGCAAAGGAAAAGAATCACAAATTCTATCTCTGTTGCCGCCCCCCCCCCCCACCACCACCCTCAAGGCTGCGGGGCCGTAACCCCGATCCCCATTTCAAGCTTCTGTGTGGTGTCCTTCAAGACCCCCCCCCCGCCCCCATTAGCCCCTCTGCCACTCTCCCTCCCCAGCTTGGCATGACGTGTGCCAACAGAACCCAGCCGGGCCGTTGCCATGGTCATTCTGGTCAGTCTGCTACTGTTAGCTCTGTCCCCCCCCCCCCACACACACACATAATGAGCACTGCGGTGTGGACCGGGGGAGAATTCTATGTAAATTGGACAGTCGCTCCAAGAAAGACAGAAGTAAAAAAAAAAAAAAAAAAAAAACGTCTCACCTGGTCAGCAAGCCCCCCCTCCCCTTTACTAATGTTATATTTTGTGCGCGGCTGAACTTTGCATCCTGTCGGGAAGGCTAAGTATCCCCTGGGGGCGGACACTGAGGGCAGGCAGCCTGGCTGGGGGGCCCTACACAGGCGTATAAATAAGAGCCCATGACAGCGACAAGACGCCCCCATGTGCAGAGTGTGCGACCTTCATTTTCCTATAACCTCTTCAGAATGCGCTCATGAATATATAAAAGCACAGCCTGCAGCTAGCTATTAACAAGACATCATCCCCAGCGAGGCCTGCGCCGTCCGGGCTGGGCCACAGCAGCATGTGGCCCCCGGCGGGCTAGCAGCGGCGCCCTAGGGCCTCAGGTGTGGGGCCTGGGCCATGGACGCGTTTTGCTTTGGCACGGGAAGCCCGCCTCCGTCTTTACCCAGATTGCGAAACGCTCTTCCCGCACGGCTGTACTGGGTGTGTCTGTGTGTTTCTTTTTTTTTTTTTTTAACACAGCTGGGCTTCGTATCGTAAAGATTTGCTCGCAGCTGCTGCAATTAAGCGCTAACGAGCCTGACCCAGTTTCACGGGCGTGCCCTCAATCCCGTTCCCTCGAAGACAGGGGGGGGTTCGACACAGAGCTCTCGGCTCACTGTAACTGCTCCTGAGATCCTGCTTATCATTTTGGGGGGGGAGGGCGGCACCGGCATTAGGAGGCTGTAGCCTTGCGGTTCAGCATCATCGGTGTCCCATCATCCTTTCTGGCACCTTCTGATGGCCAGTATTGCCTCCCCCCCCCCCAAAAAAAAAAGTTTACAAACACAATACTGATGCTCTTCAAATTAAAATATATTAGTGGAGAGTGCACAGAAATATAAATTGAGTTGAACAGTTTCTCTGTAAAATTCTCAGCGCTACACAGTTAGGTTCCAAACATCCTAGGTTGCTAAAAAATATAACACAACAGATGCAGGCTGAGTATTTAGGCTGGTCTCAGGTGCCCGGGGTTTGGGACCCTCTGACAGGCACCATGCGCCTTCCGCAGGTTTCCCAAAGCCCTTCTTAGAAACCATGAGCTTTCTCTCCCGGCAGCAAAAGCCCAATCGCTGTGCACAGGAGACACCTAGTGGTGAAATGGACCAACAGACATGCGCTCTCACGCTTGCTCGTACCGGCAGCCAGGGCGGTCAATGACAGCCTTCTCCCCCTGCAGCGAATATCAGACAGGTGGTACTGTGCAGAGCACCCCCCCCCCCCCAAATCCAGCTGTCGCTGCCAATCACTGCTTCCAGTACGCTGTGTGTTTATTAGCCGCGTGCTCTAACTCGCTGAGTGTTGTGCTCCGAGGGCCTGCTGCATGCCAGTAAATGGATGTGAGGGCTGTGGGCACTCTGGCCTCTAATCAGGGACCTGGGTGGTCCCGCCCCACCCTGCCTACCTTAACCGCCTCTGTTGGCTGAACCCACCAGTCTTTGCTGGAGCCCAGTGTCACCGCCTCAGGCCGTGTCCATGGGCTGAACCATCACCTCCATATTCTCCAGTGTTTCCTTACAAAATATCCATCATCCCCAGGAAGTTTGAAGAGCTGCCCCCCCCCCCCATAAACCCCCTAGAGCAATTGGCACTGCCTTCCAACACTCATTGGCTGGATATTTTTGGCTGCAACAATACTATGAAACGCATGTTTGCAATATCTCCTGCAAGGCTGGTGAAGGACAGGTCTTGGGTGGTGGGCCAGTCAGAACCCCCCCCCCCCCCCCGCAGGTCATGTGCCGCTGCTAATTGCTGGACTGGAATCACTGTGTAGACAGGAAGTTGCTAATTGAAAGGCAGCCGCAGCATAAAAATGCAGGGCCAAGGTTAAGATCTGCTCCCTTTTTTGAAGAAGGGAGGATGATTGAAATATATAACTTGTCATATATCAAACAGCCGCTAGCTGGGGAAAAAAAGCTTAGAAATTGAAAGGCAGGGCAGCTACTGCTGACAGATGAAAGGGACTTGGGAGGGCAGAGGGACTGTCCCGGCATCTCTGAAGCATGTGCCTGTGTGTGCCCCCTGGCCAGGCGGCCCTGGCGGAGAGCAGCCTCAGCCTGCTGAACAGCCCCACCATGGTGAATACCTCCACTGGTGGCAGCCTCAACATGATGCACGTGGGCCATGATGACGTCAGCAGCACCGTGGAGCAAGTCAATAGCAACGGCAGCTGCAGCCCCGGCCTTTCCCCTCAACAGTATGGGTAAGGGACTGGGACCACACCCAGAGTGGGGGAGTCATGTTCTGGACATGCCCACACGCAGCAGGACCGGGTCCTGGACACGCACACACATAGCAGCACCATTGTATTACATTTGCTCTCCTTGCTTGTCTGTTATAACAAATGATGATGTTTTTAGTGTCTGTTGTTTGACTCATCAGTGCTTTTTTCCCTCCCGGAACCTATCAAGCCACCAGGTTCATGTGAAGGAGGAGCCAGCAGAGATGGAGGAAGATAGCCGACCTGTGTCCCTCATGGCAAAAGTCAGCCAGAACCTAGTGTTGCCGGGCGACGAGCGGGAGATAGAAGAGGACCTTCCGACTGAAGACCTGGAGTGAAGGGGCGGGGCCTGGATCAAAGGGGCGGGGCCTGGAGCCAAGGGGCGGAGCCTTGAGCCAGGGGGCATTGTGCAGTGACCCCCTTCCCCCTCCTGTAAAGCAAACGTTCCACGAAAAAAAAAAACACGAGGAAACCAGTATTGACACAAAACGCAAGAAAAACAAACAAACAGGGTTAGACCTCACATCTGCTCACCACCGTAAGTCTGCAAGTCTTTGGACCGTGCACAACACGCAAAAAACGAAACAACGCACTGAAACATCATTTTCGTCTTCTTTTGCATCGCTCTCTTTCTATCTTATAAGCGTTTGTGTCAGTGTTGTGTTTTTATACACACACACAGCTTTCAGTTGTCCCCCATTTCCCCCGGCATTTAATGACTCCCCTGTTAAAGTGCCCTCCCCCAATCCGCGATCGACACTGATACCGTGAGCGACTCTGGTCCGCCAGTCCACGTACTGCTGTGGGGTAATTGTCAATGCAAGCAAACACACCAAAACGCATGTACATAGTTTTGGAGTAATTTTGGGAGGTAGCTACCTCTTCTCACCAATCGCGAGGGTCGTTTTCAGTCGGAAAATGCCGCTTGGTGGCGGCGGGGAGGGGCAGCAGTGTCTTTAAAGATTACCTCAGATATATGTTAACTAAACGAAAATCACTGATCAGTATCTGCAGCTGAGTTATTCCCTCAATTACTCCTGGTGTTTTTGTATTATTATTACTACCGTTTGTTTTTAAATTTAATTTCGAGGGGACTGCTGGACAGCGCCGAGGTGCGGATTCGGTAGCCGTGAAGCATTTCGGGTGACACGCAGAAAGACTTCCTGGAGAGATGACCGTGGCGTCTCTCGCTAAAGCTTCGGTTTCATCCCCTTTTCTATTTTTTTTTTTTGTCCTCGCAGGACTGGAATGGCGGGTGGTTTGAATTGTTCATTCCCGTCACGGGGCAACGTTGACCTTTTGTAATTTAGAAAACGACTGCTTGTGACTTTAAAAAAAAAAAACCCCGTAGAGCCCTTTTCGCGAGCTGTTTCTGCCAGAATCAGAAATCATGTTTTTTTTTTCGCTTAACAATAACGGAGAGAATCGTTGTTTCCTATACAATAATCGAGGGAAAACACATAATTGATTTCCTGCTTCAGTTAGTTTTTTTAAAGTATTACTGGCAAGATTTTTTTTAAACAAGAAAACTGTTTAAAATGGAAGGCCATGTATTTGAGACAAAGTTATAGGTGGTGATAATGTGTGCGCTAGGTATTTTTATTTTGATTTTCTTTTGTTTATTTCTGAGGACCAGCTTTTTAATGGTGGCATGTCTGATGACTACAAGGCTTTTTTTGGGAGGGAGGGGATATTATCTGCTCTGTATGTTCTCACCATTTCAGACTGGGCAATTTGTGATGTGCAGATGTCTCCTGTTCAGTATGGCTAAGTCACCTTTCTGAATATTGCCAGGTTTCATCCTTTCTGTGTGGCAGATTACTGAGATTAGCACTTAACATCTAAGGATGGGGCAGCAGGCACGGTCACACTGGGGTCCGCACACTAAGGAGGGAAGAACATTTTCGCCTGAACGTGAAACGTGACCACAAGCTCCAGATCCTTATCTTATCGCCTGCTTGGCAATGAAGGGTGTAAAGTTTTTGTTACCAAGAATTGACTCCATCTAAACACTTAGGAATCCACCCCTACTGCATACAGTAATTGCTGTCAGATTTATTTTCTGCGTGACATTAGCTGCAATACGAAGCGTTGCTTTAAAAACGAAATATATATGTGTATATATATATATAAAAACTTGCAGTCACAGAATACCTCATTCCATGAAGATCCCACCTGAACAACGGTATCCATTAAAGAAAAAAATCATCTAGAGAATTTTCGATGTGGATAATCGGCGCTGCATCCCTCGATATCAGTTACACACGTTCCACGCGTTATAGATGTAGGAAGCTCCTTGCAGTTCACTGTGTGAGTTTACTTTCTTGAAATGGCACCTAAGATCTTAGTTTTATTTAATTTTTGTCAGTGAGCACAACAGCATCTCCTCCCTTTCGTACAGTGCCATACCAAATTTAACAAATAACTTTATGTATTTTTTCCCATTTTGCTTTTGTTACAGGTTACCAAAGAAACGTGTAGTAAACCAAAAACCCTTATGTTTTTTTTTTCTTCCTTCCAAAAAAAAAAAACAAATAATGCTGGCCAAATGAATACAGATCTGTAATTTAAATTATTGTTATTCTTTTAAGTTAAATGATTTAATCTTACAGTACAGAGCATTCCAAAAACCAAAGTTATACCACGAAGAAAACCGAGAATTGGGTTGCTTGAAAGCTTTGAAAATGTCAGTTATCTGGGGTGAAGAATCCATCATGCGTACAGAAAAAAGGCCAAAAACATACAGTATTAAAGTACAAACCTCTTGCAGTTCGTTAGTAAGAAGAAAGCACTTACCCCTTGTCTCAGGCTACACCAGTGTTGAAAACACAACCCTAAAAAGCTTCTTGGTAGAAGATTGCAAAGAATTATTTTACCCTTTTAAGGCACTTGAACATGATCGTAATATTGCCTGTATGTGAGAGTGACACTCGGACCGTTATATTACCTGTAGTGAAACTCAGAGTCAGTGTTCGTTGTGATGTTAAAGTACTCGACCCCCACGCGTCCCCAGCCTCAGTATACATACACTTAGGTGGACTGAATAACAGATATAATACCAAAAATAGAAAAAACAGGTATTGCAGGCACATAATGAAACCACTCCACCGATATATATAATGCAGCTTTAGAGTTACGTTTGTAGGCCGTAGATGTAAATTGGACATACCTTGAAATGAACTGTTTTGTTTTTTGTTTCATTTTTTTTTGTCTTTTTTTGGTGCTGCTGGTGTTCCTGAAATGCCGATATCATCCATATCGGTAGCGGGATAATACCAGGAGCGAGCAGAATACCACTAGCATTGCTGCGGTTCGAAAAGGCCGGGGCTGTCAGAGTGATGTCCTGCAGACTCGTACCAACACTTGCGCGACATACAGGAAGGACTTTCCTGAAGACTTGCACACATGGACAAAGAGTGTGTGTGTTTATATACTGCTTTGAAGAAAGAGGTCAGGTTCCTGTTAAACCGGTGGGGGGGGGGGGTCATTTCCCCAAGAAAATCAGTGCCCGTAACAGTCATTCTGTATGCGTTTGTTTTATTTTTTTGCCCAAGGATTAAACTTTCAAATTTCTCAATGTCAAAGGAGTATTTTTACGGCATTCAAATGGCTAAATGTATCCAAAAATCTATCTGGTAAACATGACAGCTTTGCAGGTTATAGCCAAGGTTTTAGGGAACGAGGCAAAGACCAAAAACACTACCTCCTCCAAAAATGGTTCACCCAGTAGACGGCCAGTGCTGAATGTCCACATGGAATAAACGTGTCCTTTTTCTTTATTAATAATAAGTGAATATACCAAAATACAGTTTACTTTAGCAACAGGACAGACTGGCACATTTGCCCGGCTACCTGTTCTCCAAATTCATGAGCACGAACAGAAAATAGCATATTACGTTGAAAAAGATGACTACCTCTCCCAAACACTGAGATGTATTAAGCATGAGCACGAGTGATCAGCGTATCTGTAAGGTTTACAGAGGATACGTACTCGCCATCTTGAAGCAATCCTATCATATTCTCTATAACTAGGCCCTCAATAGGGAGGCTTAACTGTGTGCTGTGATTCCGCGTGCATGATAAAGTCCACGATCACGTCATGCCAGTGAGAGCAGTTGGGATGGCCAGGCAGTAGGGGGCGCTCAAGAGGGCAGTCAGCGGGGTGTCAGAGCCGACGACGGGCACAACTCATTACTGCGGGTGCTTTGGGCCAAATACAAACGTGCGGTTAAGATGACGACCCGTTCTGTCCAAGTGCTGTGGAGGATGTATTTCCCAATTCTTGCACCATCCCAGAGAATGCGGGGAAATGGCGTCGATCGTCTAGAGAGCTTCACCTGTCGCTGCGCTCCGGGAACACGCGGCCATCCCTTTTGAGGGGCCACGTCACCGACGACAGGAAGTTGTCTTTAGGAGCCAGGACCACTGAATACATGGGGGAGGGGGGGTTAACAAGATATCCAAAGAGTAGAGCAGAGCTTGTTGACTCGCTATGCCCACGACAAGGACAAAAATTGTATAAAGTAATCTTTCACAGTAAAGAAACAGCTGCATTTCAAAAGAAAAAACACAAAAAAATAATGTCGGTTGTGTGTTAAGGTACACCTGTAAACAGAGTCCTTTTCTAAGATGTAGATTGACATCGGTTGATGATATTAGCGGATCTTTGAAACAATTATTTTACTTTCCAGCCTTGATGTTATGATGTATTGTATATTACCGCTTGGTTTAACTCTCCAGGGCATTTTTTCCATTCTTTATTTTTAAATTTTCTTGTTTTTTTTCCCTGCACCTGTTTAGCTGTTGTAAAGCTTTGAGCTCAGAATGCCTATACTGTACCGCTTATGCTAAAGTGTATGTCTTTATCATACTAAGTGCTGCAGGTATCATGGTTAAATAGTTTTTTTTTCTTCTCCTATTTTTCAGTTTACTTCATAAAACGTCTGGGACGATGATGATTTTTTAAGTGTATTATCTTTAAAAAAAAAATTAAAGAATAAAAGTTAGATAAGTGGTTTAGGTAACACACCTGTTTGTATATTTATCTTAGCTAGGTCTATTTTGATACTTTTTGTCTCTGTACTGCATTTATGCATTTTTAAGGAAAAAAAGAAAGAAAACAAAAAGTTGAATTCGTTGTGTATTGATACCTCAGAAGGACTTTTCTCAAAGATAGGACCAAAACCTCAAAAAGAGAGAACAAAAGCAAGGAAATATGTAGCCCTCTCTTGCTTGTCAGAAAGAGCAACTTTAAGGTATTTTGTTGGTCCTTTTAGGTGCCAATATGTATACAAACTCCCTTTAAACAGAGTCATTCCTGTATTGACCATTACCTTTGAAGACTGTCTTTCACGAATCGGTGGTAGTTTCCAACTGTTGCTGTGTCTTGATGACCCAGAAAGGCATGGAGTGACTTGTGGGTGCCATGTATCTGTTCTTACGGCCGCCTGATGGAATGAGAGTTCCGTTTGACCTTTGACCTTGCGGCAGAGATGGGGTCTGCCATTCCCTGCTTCTCTTGTCCTCCCTGGTGTTGAGAAAATAAGCAACTCCTTTCCAGTTTTGTCTGTACTACAATGATTTTCACTCAACCCTAAATACGTGGACTCATTGTCAGAAAAGTAAGCAAAGACTAAAGGCTTTTTCTTTAATCATTTATCTCTGTGAATGTCCCTTTGTGAGATTTCACACCCTTAGCAGTGTACCAAAAGACGTCCGAAGGCCTTCACCTTCTGTGGCCACCAAAACCGGGGTGTGTGAGGCTGCCGTCTGTATCCCCACTGCTGCAGTGACCAAAGCCAAGCGATTCGGGTGACAGAGGTGAAAGGTTGGCACTCGGGTTGTTAAGGTACGCCGGAAAAATGATCGCGAGATCGGAAAAGATGGTCCGTGGATATGATGGTGATTTGCATGCGACCGACTCGATGGATTTGCTATTGAACTCCGCGATGCGATTGGAACTCTGTTACTCGATGTATGGCAGCTTTGAGTTTTTTTGTTTTTATATATATATATATATATATATATATATATATATATACTTTTTTTGGTTGGGGGGGTTGGCCGGGGAGGATAGTGACGGAGCTCCTACCGATTTGGTATCAACTTCTCGGCCAACAAAACGGAACTACCACTTTAGCCCTTCCTTTCCATCCGATGAATGTGTGTACATTTTCAGCAGTGACTTCCTGTACCTACTTTGGTTTTTGACCTTTTTTTTTTTTGTTTGTTTTGTTTTGTTTTTCTTTGAAGCCCAGGGAAGTGGGAGGTGGCTGGTTTGAGGTAATGTAAAAGTTAAAAAAAAAAAATAAAAAATAAAAAAAAGAATGGAAAAGCAACAGACGAGCTTGTTGCTGTTTGCCTGGGCAGCCCGTTTTATATCAGTCACTGCCGTATCCTTCATGCTGTATAAAAAACATATATCTGTGTATTTGTAACCTGAATCTTCTTGTGTCTGTTCCTGCAGACAATAAAAAAAAACTGTACAGTAGTTCTAGTTGCATGTAATCTGTACTAATTATTGACAATGGCATTATAAAAATGCAATAAAATACTTATTACACTGTCTGTACTTGTTTTTGTTGAGTGCTTTATCGGGGGGTGGGTGCAAGCTTCCAAACAAACAGAAAGCTTCAGCACTGCTGGGGCCTGTTTCACAAAGCAGGATTACTTGCTTAGCCAGATAACTTGCCAGATTTAAGGTAGTCTGGGCTATATGTAAGTTGATGAAAATAAGGTCTATTTAGCCCAGACTACCTTAAATCTGGCAAATTATCTGGCTAAGCAAGAAATCCTGCTTTGTGAAACAGACCCCTGCTCTCCTTAGTCATTGTTAGGTTCTGTCCTTTTTCGATCCTTCCACTACATGCTGTTATCCTCACTGCTTCATGATAGATTATTGCTGGAGGGGTTCTCATCCTAATGATTTCATATTAATATTTTTAAGACACAGGGGAATCATTTGTTTTATTTGTTGCTATGGCCACAGCTAAGTAACCCATGTCAGGGTGGGTAGCTGTGGGCCGCCTGCAAATTCCATAAGGTTCAAGCATTAGCGCCACCTGATGGTTGCTGGCTGTAATTACAGAGGCCACACCTCTTCCTTCCTCAGCATTATCACGGAAGCTCCCTGCTAGAGTTTGCGCCTCTGGGTTTTCAGAACTACATCTTGGGGAGGATGCTTATTGGGTAAGAGGACTTGATCAACATTAAGCTGGGAACCAATCAAAATGAACCAACACTAGTACCATATCTGCCTCAAAGTAATTGAGGTTGTGAGCCTTCAGTGCAGTCAAGAAGCAAGGTGGCTTCAAATTGACCCAGTCATTCATGAGCCTAGTTCCTAAACCAGCCCAGTTTACAGACGTGTCTCATTTTTTTCTACCATCTTTATTAAACTGCTTCATCATAACACGTGTTAAACTGGGCCATTCTGATCACTGCGATTGTTTTTACAAGGATGCCGTTCCATTTACCAGCTATTTTGATATGATGCACAAGGAATTATCAGTTAAAAATGCATCTGATGGAGGCAAGATGAAAAAAAAACAATTAAGGCGCGCTGCAGTTTAAAAATGGACTCTTTTATGAATCTTTTATCATTTAATTTTCTCACCGCTACCTTTCCCATAGACATCATTAATCACACCAGCAAGCTCTGACACCGAGGAAAAAGGAGCTTTTAATTAGTTTCTGAATTTTGACGTCTCGCCATATTTTCAAGAACATTTTGATGATTGTGATACGGGGAATGTGCGTTTTCCATCTATAATCTCGAAAACATTTAGCCATCATCTTTAAGGTTAACATCAGTAATTTCTTTGGAATATTTCATATTTTTATTGTTGGGCAGTATTCCATATTCAGTTTTTGGTGCTTAAAAATGTTTTTTTATATAAAACATATTGAAACTATGTATTAGTATTAGTGCAATGTATTAGTATTCGTGTTGGTGGTGCAATGATTAAGAGCTGGATCTCACCTAAAGTCAGTCTGTTGTACCTTTGAACAAGCTACTTAACCTTAACTGCCCAGCTCACATGCTTAAATGTATAAACGGATAACAATCTTAAGTTACTTAGAGTAAAAGAGTTCATGGGCTTAATCTCAGCGTAAAAACAACAAAATCAATCACCTCAATCGATATACCTCTTTCACTCCTGTTCAATTTGCCCCCCTGGGGGGGTTGTATTGACCAGCCCATGGCAGACTGTTGTCATACTGCCGTCAGAGAGAGTTAGCACAGGGTCAGACGCCAGCGCAGTCACAGTCCTGCTTCCCTGTGCAGCTCTCTGCTGTGTTACAGCCTCTGTCCACCAGGAGGGGTAAACAGCCGGTCAATCCAGCAGGCAGCTAAGTAATGCAGCTGGACCAGGCCGACGCCGTAAGGTCCCCGGGCTCTGGGAAGGACCTGGCGCAGCGTAGCCTCGGACGGCGGAGAGGATGTTATTTTAACCCTTTTCGGATGATAGACCCCCTCGTTTTCCCAATTTCTGTTTTTTTTTGTCTGCTAGCACCTTATCTGATAAGATATCAGCCAAAATGGCGTGACACACGTTTGTTTTTCACCCCAGCAAAGGACAGTAGGAGGCGCTGGACAACAAGCAGATAGAGTTTGACTCCCTTTCGGGAAAAGCCGTCCCCCATTGCATTTTCCGGCGTACTCTGACGCACAACTGATGAAGACACGACTCGCTGCCATTTCACCTGTCTCTAAATCCCCCTCTCGGCAGGGACAGAGCATGCAATCTGGGTGGGGGGGAGCCCCCCCCCCTCCCTTCAACAGGGAAAACTCAATGTAACCTCTTAAATAAATATCGAACTTTGTCAAAAAAAAAAAAGTCAAATTGAGAAAAAAATACAGTTTCAGCCGTGGAGCGAAGAACGCGCCCTGTGTCGTGGAACAAAAGCATCTTTGTGAGTGAGTGAAACCACATTTCACTCTCCGCAGCCGTGCCAAGTCGACCGACCCACTGAAAACAATCGACGTCAAAAGTTTAAAATAATAGTGGAAGCTCCCAGCAGATATCAATGGCACACAGCAGAGCGTTCCGGCTTTGCCGTGTGTCCTGGTCAATAACCAGGGAATAGTTAAGACTTCACAGCTGCATTTAAAACGATGCATGGTGATGAGGCCCCTAAGAGAATGTGAGCAGGAGAGACTGGCTAGCTAATTCTCTTTTGGTTTTGCACTGAAAATATTTCTTGTGCATCCACTGAAAGAACCACAGCGTGGATGGTGTGTTACATGCCGCAGCTGAAACATTCCTGTGAACCTCTTTCCCATCAACATCTGTAAGATGATGAAAGGCCTTGTTTTCTTGGAGATCGATACTGTTGTTGCTCGGCCCTCTTGTCCTGAGTAAAGTCCGTAGCCCTACCGAGGTTTTTCTTGGCCCAATGTCTCTCGCACGCATGAGTCCGGCCGAGTTAAGGTCATGTGTAAATTTTCTATAGGGTGTGGACGTCCCAGGTCTCCCACGGGATATGGATGTGGTGGGGAATTGAAAGCTTCGTGGCGGGTGCCATTTTGCGCTCAGCCAGCTTGCCAGAGCAAAAAGCATTATGGTAAAGGTGGGCCAATTCCCGCCAGATGTGATCTGGGTCACATTAGCTTGGGCAACTTCTAGCTACAGTCTGGAAGCATTAACCCCCATCCTGGCGCAACCTTTACCGCTCTTCGGTTTATACGTTTAACCTAAAGCAAGCCCTCCTTGCATCTTTAGGATGATAACATCAAAAATACTGACTGAAGCACTAAATGGCCAGTTGAGTCCTCTGGCTGCTTTTGCTGTTTAAATATTGTCAAGCTTGGACTATAAAACTGACCTTAAAAGGAAAATCGAGCCTCCACATGTGTCCAGGAGGATAGCTGTCAGTGAAGATTTAAAATAAAATAAAAAAGACGTGAATCGTTCATGAATCGTTCATGAATCTTCATGCTAGGGCCAGTTACTGTATCATACTGAGGGTTAGATCTACCTTTTCAGGGGTCCTATGCAAAGTTTTACTTGGGAGAAAATTGATGATCATTTTATGTCATTTGGGGGCCCTAGGCAAACGCTTATCTTGCCTGCTTATCCTGCCTATATCCTGGCCACGTTTCTGCCTGCACATAAATATATAAAATAATACTATTTTTTTCCCATGAGTTCCTCTGGTTCTCTTGCTGCTTGTGCTGATCGGTCCCTAAGCAGCTGTCTACTTTGTCTGTGCCTGTTTCTGGCCCTGATCCTAATTTAAGTGTGAGACATTTCACATTTGCTGTGTTTTGCTTGTTAAAGACAGGATGTGCACTTCTGGAAAATCGCATGTATTATTTTGCTGACATTTGGTGTATTGGAGTTAACGATGAACTGTAAGCACTGTAAGGTCATTTTAAAAAACGGTGTTGGTGACCACTAGCCTTAAGATATGCACACTTATTAATGATCTTATTTTAAACATGAGCACACAGGGGGAGAAGGTGCTAAATTTGAATGTGTGAAAGCGGTGTGACACCGCCGTGAGTCATGCTACTGAATAGCCAGACGAATAAATGAATAAAAAGCGAGATCACTGCGGATTAAAATTTAGGCTAGACAAATAAATGTGTATATAACCTGTGATCCACACACTCTTTGTAAATGCATCTGAAGTAGGTATCGCGAGTATGTCAATTCCACTACTAGGTGAATGCATAAAGTTGGTTTCTAATAGACAGATGGCTTTAGAAGCCTCGAATTAATGTTGCTTGATACATAGAAGTTCTGATCGATTTTGTGATTCATATGAATAATATGGCATGGGTGTGTTTAGCAGGCGGGAAATGAAAACAGCGCTATTACAGCGTGAATAAAGACATCATCTATCCATCATTATAGGTGGAAGGCGGGAATGAATGCTTAGTTTGTAGGCTACATAGATCTTGGAGGGCTTTGAGACAGGCAGCTGTGCATGAACACGCCTGAATAGAAATCGGATTAATGCTGACTGCGCTGCCAAGTATATACTGTATGCTTGTTTTGTTTTCACAACCTGTTATGTCAAAAGGCTCACTAAAGATGATTTACTGTAGTCTCGCTTCGAAACCGTGGCAATAGCATATACCGGGTACCTATCCCTGAATCAGTTTAAAACACCATCACATAGGCGCCGATGAAGTTTATTCAATATCTTCTTATCTTGTCCAAGTGTCAAAAAACAGATATGACAACATCAAAAAGAATACTACGCGTGATTTTGTAGATCCTTGTGAGCAAAGCCGATAACCACACCGTTCAGGAGATAAAATTAATTCTGGAAAGTGCATTGTAGTTGATGTATGCCTACTGTATATTACGGCCATAAATTCCTAATAACTTAAATGTACCTGGAGACCCGCTGAAATACCTGTCTGGAAATTGTACCCTTTGAGGAATCGATTTGCCTATATCGCATTAAGTGTACAGCCAGCAGAGTATATCAGTTTATTGCCATTTTATTTTAAAACAGACGAGTATATAATAATAATAATAATAATAATAATAATAATAATAATAATAATAATAATTGAAATCCATTGTTAAACGTTTTGTGCGTACATGGCC